GTTCTGGTAATAATACAAATATCAATAACAATATTAATAGTGTTGAAGAAATATGAGCCAGGTTCAGGTGTGAAGAAGTTTCGGAAAACTGATGAAGACTTAACATAGCGTGGTTTATTGAGCCCGGCACACATACAACATGTGAACATGTCAAATGCCAACACCAAATCTGAAGGATAAGATTTTTATTGATCAACATTTTATATTTCGGTCTTCCCCCTGTTGCCTGTAGCTTTCTCTATTAGGTCATCTTTAGCTGGCCTTAACCTAGAACAATGAATCTATCTGATGTTTAGAGTCCAATGCTTCATCATATTGGAATCTAATATTATCCATGAGTTGTAATCTGTGGAGCCAGTGAGTTCTTGAAAACATTCTTGTCAGATTCCCAGAGAAAAACTGATTTCTGCTAGCCTGACGCGACGCCTGAGCTACTGTCTCTACCTCATCAATCTAACTAACATGTAACAGTCTCCCTAACAAGGACAGTTACATGTGAGAAATAACTAGAGCTGGAAGGTCAGTGAACGCTTGTGAGGTCAGCCAATGTCTCTAAGCTAGGCTTGTCTTACCTTTCCCTGTTACATCAACTAAGAAAATTCTTAAACAAATACTAATAACGATAATATTAATAGGACTAATAATAGTAATTGTAATAGTTGGTGTCGAGCAGGAACATGGCGGCAGCAGGAGGAGGAGCTACATTATTAATGGAATATGAATGCATACAGATGGAGAGGGAGAGGAGGCGAGAGAAGCTCAGTGCATCATAGGAAATGTCCCAGCAGTCAACATCTTTAGCAGCATAACTAAGGGATGGTTCAGGACTCACATGAGCCAGCCCTAACTGTTAAATGTGGAGTTAAGTCTGTCAAGGTCACATTGCATGAAAAGTGTGAAAGTTAATCTTTTAACATGGATACAATAAAACTGAAACTGAAATCTTTCATTCATTCTGCTGACAAAGGCCAGAAGATGCAATTAGTTAGCTCCAGAAAAATTTAGTAGGCTTTAAGAGGAAAGACTGAATTCTACTCTTAAATGTGGAGTTTCAGCATTAAGTCTGTGTTAAGTCGCACATTGAACATGTGAAAGTATATTTTTTAACTCAAAATCCACTCACTACCTGATTTCCAACTTGGAAATCTCCATTACAGCGAGCAGATTCAGTCTGCTGACGAAGGCCACAAGATGCAGTTAGTTAGCTCCAGGAAAGGCTAGTAGTGTGGACTATTTAAAGATTATTATCAACAGGTTGGTCTAGACACCGTGGGAACTGGGAGTGTCTCCGCCTACATAATTATGACTGCAATGTTAAAGCTAAAACAAGCTTTAAGGTCTTTGAAGTCTCACTATTCATTTTAAATAGACCATAATGTTTGTAAAGAACATTAACGACACAAGTTTGTGTTTGGTTCGCACGAACCTTATTTATACTGGTAATAACGCCCTACAGAACAAATAGATCAAATCAGATAAATCTATTTTTGCAGTTTTTTCCAGCCTAGTCTCACCATGAATAAGATGCCGATTTCTTAAGTTATTTGCCTTAGCGTTCCAACACATTTTTTGCTTTTCGCATGTCATTGCATGCCAAGTACTCTGTACTGACTGTACTGTGCAGAAATGACGTGCCATTTTATGCCAACTGTCACAGGGAGAAGACCCGGTACAGAACAGGACTGAGGAGCCTGGTGTTTGGTTCCCGTGTGAAACAAAAATCAAACAAAACGACAAGATTGATTTATGTTTTAGGTGCAGTTACGTAGGTTGCAAAAGTTACATAAGTTAAATGATGTTGCTACATTGATACAACATCATGTTAGACAGACTGAGGCACTGGGTGGGGATCTCTGGTACTGCCTAGAATGGATTTCATCCTACCTGTCAAATAGGAAGTTCTGTGTGTCTCTTCGTTCTTTCCAGTTAAATATGGTGTGCCTCAGGGGTCGGTCTTAGGACCCATTTTGTTTTCCTTGTATCTGCTTCCCCTTGGACATATTATCCATAAACATGGCATTTCTTTTCATATTTATGCTGATGACACACAAATATACTTGCCCGTCAGATCCACAGACCCTGGAATGCTGAGTTCACTTAACAACTGCCTTTGTGAAGTTAAAAAATGGATGTCAAATAATTTCCTCCAGCTGAACTCAGACAAAACAGAAATCCTGGTCATCGGGTCTCAGCAGATGGCAAATCAAATACTGCCATCTGCTGGTTCCCTAGTAAATCACATTAAGCCTGTGGCAAAGAACCTTGGTGTTTGGTTTGATAGTAATTTAAATTTCGAGCAGCACACCACAAAGCTTGTTCAATCATGTTTTTATCAACTTAGAAATATAGCACAAATTCAATCTATGTTAACTTTTAAGGACACCGAGACCATTTTACACGCCTTCATCTCATCACGCCTGGATTATTGCAACAACCTTTTCACCTGTTTAACCCAAAAATCTATTGATCGACTCCAGACTGTCCAGAACTCAGCTGCCAGGCTTTTAACCAGAACAAAGAAATATGACCACATTACTCCTATTTTAGCTTTCTTAAAGCTCTTCATGGCCTCTCGCCTTGTTATATTTCTGAACTTTTAGTCCCATACACACCAGCACGTACCTTGAGATCCTCGGGCAGAGGTCTGCTATCTGTTCCAGAGTCTCGACTGAAAACTAAAGGGGACAGAGCGTTTGCTGTCAGGGCCCTGAGGCTCTGGAACAGCCTGCCCGAGGAAATCAGGTCAGCTGAGTCAGTGAACTCTTTTAAGTCCCTTCTTAAAACATACTTTTATAGGAGAGCCTTTCCCGATCTTATTTGACTTTTATCCCTTTTATTTTATTCTATTTTACTTATTTTATATTTATCTTAAACGTGTATTTTAGTCTTTTCAATGTTTTCTTGCTTTTATCTTGTATTGTTTTTGTCTTATTGTCTTTTGTGCATTATTGTCTTTACACTTGTTAAGCACTTGTTAGCACTTTGTAACTTGTTTTTGAAAAGTGCTCTACAAATAAAGATTATTATTATTATTATTATTACCCTATTATACACCCTTGCCCAAACCATCTGGGGTGTGTGCCTAAACCAAATCAGTAACTGTATGCATGTCGTGAAATCTTAAAATTTGTTGACATGGCACGCGAAAAATACTGATATGGAAATCTGTATGAACGGATAATAAACCAAGCACACGGGTTGGTAAACGGTGCCGGGATCCAAATTCTTGACTTCAGTCCCGCCAGATGTAAACTATGAGGAGGTTATGACTTGTCAGCAGCAACACCTTTACATTAAATAACCCTCCTCACCAGAAAACAGCCGTATAGGCTGATTATTATATGGCTTATTACGACTCATATTTACAGTTTTTGTTAGGCCTGGTTTGGTTTAGTTTCCAAAACCTTCTAACCACAAGGGACACAAAAACCCTTTTTGCGTGTTTTCAGTAGCAAGTTGCTGTTTTATTATAATGAAAAATTGAAACCCAGCTGGTGTTTTAGAGAGAGTTGTTTTGTTGCAGGTAAAGCTGACCCTGATGTCTCCTACACTGATGTGATCATCATGGAGGAAGAGCAGCCAAATAGAATCAGAGGTAAACCACTCAGACAGACTTTTCCAACATACCAGCAATTCATATTAAAGATGCATTATCATCAGACAGAGCACGTGAAGGTTTTTGCAGTGAGAGGCGTCCCTCTCCAATGGTTTTTTATGGGTTGTTTTTATTGGCAGAGTTTTGTGCTGCAGCCCCCCCAGACAAACCAGAGCCATTATCAGGTCTACAGATTAGGCTACAGATTGTCCTGGAACAAACTAGTGGCTGATTTTACCAGCCGCTGTTGATCTGAACAGAAAACAGCAGGCCAGCAGGCAAATTAGTTCTGTTGCCTACTTTCGGTAACTTAAACTAACGTTACATCACTTTTATAAACATTATCATCGTAATGTTTTTACAAAGTGGTTCTTACCTGTAAGATTTTTAGCTGTTGCCTAAACACAAATATATGTTAAAGCTGGTTAAAACAACTATCTCAGTTTTCCTGCGTGCAGGGTCGATCTGACAGCTCAATCACAGCCATAGCAAGTTCCTCCACCTGTCCATTTATAGCCTATATGCCTATTTGTACGTATGTTGGGCTATAGGACAGATGATTTGATGATTATTTTTTTAAATGCACCGCAACCTTTTGCTTTTTTTGTTGTAGGCTTCAACAATAGAGAAAACTGCGGTCTGTCTGCATCCTGATATTTTCTTCTCATTATGAATCATTTAACCGCCACATAAAGTCAGGCTGTAAGTTGTGAGTTTCGATGTAAGCATCAATAGGACTGATATAATAAATTATCCATCTGAATTTAAAACACATTTTTGTTTTATGCACAATTTACTTCTCTACTGCGATACTTGTGTTTCCTCTCGTTCAGATCATTTGGTTATTTACCAAATAAACAGATTAACAGATAATATTATAAAAAAATGACAAATAAAAGCAGTCTTATTAGGTCCACTTCAGACAGATACTTTAAAATTCAGTATATGAGTCGTTTTACTTTTGATAATATTTTAACTTATTGAAGTATTTTTCCTTTGTGTTGCAATGAAATTAAGAGCAACTGACCTTTTCCACCACTGATATAGCTTTAACATACATATTGTCATTTTGTTTTATTTCTTTCTCTTTAAAAACACACCTGTCACTGGTCTCTACTGAGGCTTCACTTCATTACTAAATTTACCCAATGAAAAGATTTCCTTCTTTCTGTCTCTTGGCTGTAACAATCTGATCTGCATACCAAAACTAAAGGAAACCAGATCGGATTTCCGTATGAACATGTCTGATTGTTCTTTGACAATAATGCACCCTCTACATTCATGCTACTGAAAGGCCTGGTGTGAACAGTGAAATAAAGGCCAGTGTTTCTATTATTTTGTCCACCTAATGACTGTAGCACTGTGCCTCACTTGTTGATAGTTTGTTTGTGTCCTTTCTCCACAGATAGAAAAGCTGCACTGACCTTCTACACTAAAGTGAAAGCAGGAAACCACTGACAGGAAACTGCAGCACCAGTACTGTAAAAAAAGTGAAGAAAGTTTGTCATGTGCTTTTATTGGAAACAGAAATTCTCAGTTTCATTGTGTAAATATCCAGAAACGGAGATTATCTGTTTTTGGAGTCGCCCCAACTAACTCGTGACGAGACACTGAGTTTCTTTACAGATATTTAAATAATGATGTTTGAATCCAGCAGATGACTGTAAGTCTAATATTCAGCTCCTGAGAAAAATGTCTGTCTGGTGCTGGACAGGTGGTGCAGTTCGGATCTAGAAAACAAACAATGATCCAGAGTAGACGTAAACTGTCCACACAGCTGACGTTGTCTGTGGAGACCAACCCGTTCTCACAAACCAAACAAATAAAAACACTCATTGTTGACTTTTTGGTTGAAAGTCCAGTTTTCATCCACGCCAAACACCTCCTTACTCAGACTTTATTGTTACAAATTATAGACCGCTACGGGGCTCTATGGTGCGTTACAGAGATCTTGATTATATGTGACGACTTGGGAGTGAGAACGGGTTGTATTATTTCGTCACTCTGAGTAACACCTTCTCAGGATCAGTCGTCATTTGATATATTTATAGAAACATAATTAAGGTGCAGCTTTAAATCAAATGGCTTTCGATGATTAATAATCATTGGGTGTAGGAAATTCCTTCGCTTGACATCAGAAATATTTCTGAACACAAAGTATGAAATGTGTTTTGGAAATCTGTCTTTAATAAAGATGAAAAACTAAAATTGTCTTTGAGGAACTTTGTTTCACATTTGCAAACGGGCTCAGGATGTACAGAGATCAGCTGAAGCAAAGAGTTTGTCTTTTATGCACAAGGTGAGAATGTGTGGGGTGAGCAGTCGCAGAAAGGTCACGACACGACACGTCTCTAGTTTGTTACTGAAATCAACAATCTGCAGTTGTCTCATGTTAACTGCAGCAAGGCTCCTGTGTTTCCTGTCCCCCAGCTTCCCATTTCTAAGTAACGCACAGCTGCTGTGGAGGAACCAAACTCAGACAGAGCATCACTTCTATCAACTAAAACTTTAACAAAGAGAGCAAAGGTCAAACTGTTTAAAATATTTTTCTCAGTAACACAGGTGTATAATTATATAGCTGATGGAACAGGTATTTCCTCCTGCACTTCATGTTCTGTGTGACGTCAGATCAGACAGGGAACTCCTTATAAAGTATCTGTCTTTTCATACCTGAGTTCATCCCAAAAACAAGCTTAACAATCGTATCCCACACTAACTATGGGATGTAAGATCTGTACTTTCTATGGTCAGAGATCTTTGTCGTGTTTCTTTGATCTGCACTTTCCTCTCACAATATAATCCCATCTTTATGATCTCTAAACTGTGAACATACTTGTACTGGCTCAGAGGATCTCCAGGTTGAGGCGGGGGGTCATGAAACAGGTATTTCCTCCTGCACTGCACACAGGGAACTTCTTATATGTATATACATACCTAAGCGTAGGCAGGGACTAAACACTGAGTAAGCAGGGACATGATGATTTATTGGATAAGAGACGTATAAACATTTGAATTAAAACTACAGACAACTAAAGGTGCATCTATTAAAAACTGTGATCATTGTGAGCAGCAGAACCAGACTGAGAGATTAAAGGTTCAGGAAAACTTTGCAGGTGTTTTGAGTTAAACAGCTGATTAGAGCTTTTCTCAGGTCGATATTTGTGTATTATAAATTACACTAATACATTTTGAGATCCTGGAGTTTTGATTTCCATGAGCTTTAAGCTGTAACTTTTTTTGTATGTTTTAATACAAATTTTTTTTTGAAATGTTCACTATATGTGTAATAAATCTAGAATATAGGAAAGTTTCAATTAACTTTTCCACAATACTTTTTGAGATGCACCTGTGTGTGTTGTAACATTTCATTGCTTGTATTTCAACATATATTTAGATCATTTAAACGCTGTTTCATTGAGGGTAAAATGTTACAAAGACATCTAAAAACTTGACTTTTAATCAAGTTTAGCCTGCTTTTAACCCACATGTGCCACATGATCACTAAATCAACAGCTGTTTTCAAACATATTATTTCCTGGTGTGGCTTTGAAGGACATGATCCCAGCACACTGAAGGAAATGGGCTTATAATTGCTCTAAAGTTTAGAGTCTAAACCCTCCATAAACTGTGACTCATGGGCCTGTTTGTCTGTTGTTTTTTCAGGGCAACTGATACAACAAACAGAAGATTAAGCATGGTGGAAATGTATCTCCAGGAAATACACCGTGGCACCCTCGTGACATAGACATCTGTTCCTTGTATGTCAACCAAATTCCCCATTTCCTGCTGAAGTTAACGTGTGGAGTTATGGTGAGATTTCTGCCTGATCACAGGTTATGACGTTTAGTTTTGTTTGGTGAAAAGGTTCAATCAAAAAATGTACTTTCCCAAACAACAGACACAAAAGAAGAGTGAAGACTAAATCATGTGTGCTGACTCAGCAAAGATGATATTAAATGAGTTGATTACAGGAGAAACATATTTTAAAGCAATAAATAATGCCAGAGAGCATCACAACAACATATTCTATTATTTTAATATGTTGAATTGTCACCTGCTACATGAATTTGTGTTTCTCTTTAAATCAAAACATATCCACCATTAATTTGGTGCATGAAAGGCAGAAGTTTTCACCAGAATGCAAATTAAGTCCCTAATGCTCAAACTCTTCTGTGGGAGGACCCCCAGACCCCCCACTTATAGAACCGCTGATCTGGCCCACCATTAGGCTACAATTTCAGTTTGTCCAACACTAATAGCAAAACCAAAGACTTTCCCATCAAGCCTAGCTTTACAGCTGTATTTTGTACTAATTAGCAATTGTTATAATGCTAAAACACTAAGGTAACATGGTGAACATGGTAAACATACCTGCTAAATATGAACATGTTAGCATTGTGCTGAGCAGGTTGAAGTAAAAAATACAAAAGTAACACTTCCTTCAGATTTAGTTTGCATATTCTCCCCCTTCCTGTGTCCTCACAGTCCCGGGTTAATTCCCCAGGTGGCCCCAGAGCAAAAGCTGTGATGTGTTGGTTTGTCTTTAGTAGCCTAATTAGTTTGTGATAATGTGATTACTCACAAGTATATTTAGTAAAATGCAAAAGTACAATATAAAACGATCTAGTAAAGCCCTAAAACTAGATGTGAAATAAATAAATGATGTTATCTTAAAATTACCACACAGTGAACCCGGACATCCAGAAACAATTACTCATCTCTGGGAGAGATTGCTATGAAACTTTGCTCTTATATATTCATGTTCCCCTCAGGATGACTTGTAGAAACTTTGATCATCTCACTTCTCATCTAGTTGCTTCTGCACACAGATAATCAAAAGGCGCTCTGTTCACTTCGTTCTTGCTGTTTGAGGGTGAAAAGGTTCACGGGCATCGTGAGGTCTGGTATTTTTTATGTAATTTGACTAAAAACCTTTAATTTGAACTAGGATTATTACAGTAACTTAATAAAAAAGTAGTAGAAGTGTGCCTTAAAATAATTATAACAACATTGGTAAAACAGGTTTAATACTTATTCCTCTGATTTATAGCTTACTTGTCAGCCCGTTTTTAAAATTATCATTAAATTCAGAACAGTATTGGAATAGATTTAGCCTACATTTTAACTGTTTACAACAGCAAACCTACTATATACACTAAATAACTGTAAATGTAATAATGTCAGTGTTAATGTAAAATAAATAATATTCCTGACATCAAAGTAAAGAGTGGCCCAAATAGATTTCAGAAAAAGGTATGAAAAGTTAATGTGAAAGGTAAATGCTATACTCTGTCATGGTTATTATGGGCCAACATAATGAACACACACACACACACATCTTAGTTTATTTATTTAGATTTATGATTAGACATATAGTCCAATATCCAAGGGGAAAAGGTGATGTTAGCCTGTATTTCATTCACCAGTCACATACAGCTGGGCTCCCATTCATTGTCCTGACCCCGGCTTCCTGTTCATTCTTACCCAACGGATTTGAAACAACTGCTCTAGTCAGAGCTGAAATACAAACCTTAAACCTTTGCTGGTTTAACTGTTTAAAACAAGCTGCAGCATCACAAGTTGAAAACGTTAATCCATAAACCAAATAAAACTAGTTACTAACCAGCATATTTACCTTTGGAGGATCCTTCCATTAGAGTTTCTGTCATTTGAATTAATGTCATCCAACCTGTGCAACATAACCAAGCAACCACAACAATGTTGAAATTATTTTCCATACCAACACAAAATTTTCCACTTGACTTTTTCTGTCATTTTCCATGTGTTTTCCATGACTAGAACTGTCAACTTTTTCCAGGTTTTGTCTATTACAGACCTTTTCATAGCCTGCTCTTTATTATTTTGTGGTCTTTCAGAGAGCAAACCAAGACAAATCATAAATTCAATTGACCTACCTAGAGGGTGGTAATCTCAATTCTCAGATATAATCGTTGGAAAGAAAATTGCAAAGTTTAGGCAAATGTAGCAACTCCTCACATTTTCAGTATATAACTGATACAATTTGACATGCAGGAGCTGTAGGAGTCCACACTGAACTTCATCTTTATGCAGTATTAAAGTTTAATACCAGAAAAGACCAACATTTCTTTCAATGTAAAGAGTCAACATTTTCAACATTACAGGGAGCCACACAACAGGATGAAGTTTTTCTGACCTATATGAAACAACAAAAGCATGTTTTCAGTGGCTCCACCACTGAACATCCAGATCAGTAATGACCAACCTTTTATTTACTGTAAAATCAACTGAGAGTAGAAGGTAGCATATAAACTAAGAGTATAATGAAGGAGATCTGTAGCTCAACATAACACCAGACAGAGAAGCAGCCCTGATGCCTGTTGCGCTACATGGTGGACTGAATCTAACATTTAAATGATCTGTTCATCTGATTTCAACAAGAGGTCTGAGTCTGAATCGTCACCTTCATGCAGAGACAGCAGAAAGATTTAAGTCAACACATTGTAGTCATTTGTAGATGTGATTTATTTGGCTACTATAAAATAATAGTGCACAAACATTGTAGAAATACTTCAAATGTACAAAATCATAATGTCCCTAAAACAGAACCTAACAAACTGAATGTTTTTCCAGACGTTTACTCTTAAAAGCAAAACACTAGAGGTAAATCTTACAAAGTAAGTTCAAGGGCAAGAAGTTGATTAATGTTTAACATCATAAAAGAAAAACAATGTTTCAAAGTGAAAAAAACACAAAGAAACATAATATAAACTTCAGTGAGGACCAGGTGCCCTGACCAAAGGCCCGTTCACATTTGATGTTTTGGGAGTGTAAAACTTGAGATTAAACTTCAAAAAAACAGCTTATTTCCATAAAGTAAATTTAGCTCTTAAAGTGTCAGACAGCTGCCTGATATTATTTAGTTCCCCATTTCACACCAAAATAGTCTGAAAGCTGAAAGAGCCCACTGCCATCAGGGTATCTGTTTCCATAAAAGGAGGGTCTGCAACCATGTTCAGGCAGGTGGTACATCCACATGAACATTGACCACCGAATCACACTGCCTCCGCCAGCCTGCCTTCTTCCCTTAATGATATTGGCACAAGGTTTTGTAGTGAGAGGTATGTGGTTAATAAATATTTACACTCACGACTGATCTCTACAGAACAACTAGTTTGTTTTTAAATGTTTTCAATTTAGCGAAGAGTAAAACTCCACTGAGTAAACACTGACGTTACAACAAGGTTCATTTTACAATCAGGAGCCGGCTCTTGATCATCATGTTCGTGGTTTCAGCCACCTACTGATATGTAGTCTACTACAGTCAAGTAACATTTTGAAAATAAGTTCATTTGTGAATCGTATAGATCAGTCTCAAACAAAACAGGGTTCTCACAGTTATCCTCCTTCGGGGCAGGAGAGCCCGATGATGAAGAAAGGCTTGGCACTTCAGACTATTTTTTACATTTTACTTAAAATTGGTATACACTGTATGTCAGAGGTCACACGCCTTTGGAGAGGTTAAGTGTCCAGGGACACATTGATCGATGTTGCAGTCGGAATTGAACCCGAGTCTCTCAAAACAAAGGCATGGATCTTATCCACTGATGCATCACCAACCCCTTCATTGTGTTTGAGCAAACTATAAAAAACAAATAAAGTCTCAAAGTGATCCTGCTGATAATGATGAGTTACGGTTAATGTGAATTCTGGAGGTACCTTGCTAACCAAGCTACATCGCACCCTCATTTCATCCAAAGATGGTCACGTCAGATGCCTCATTGCAAAATAAATCAAGATGGCGGTGGCCAAAATGTCAAACTCGAGGCTTCAAACCAACAGTGACGTCACGGTGACTACGTCCACTTCTTTTATGCAGTCTGTGGTTGAGAGAAGAGGACAGTTCTGGCACAGTTCTTCTGCAGGCAGTACTTTCCACAGTCTGACCCAAACGTGTTCAGCAAGAACATCCACAAATTTAAAGAAAACTTTTTCCCAGGACGTCTGATGCAGCCACGTCCCAGAGTTTGAGGTGAGCTGAGGATGAAGAACACACAGAGCAGAGGCCATGAGTTGTTTCTGCACCAGAGCCTTAATTCAACATAACCACATTTCACTGCTGATAAACCCACGTACAACAAACTTCTCAAACATCTGCAGGTTAACAGATTAAAGCTCCAGAGTTTTCATTTGACTGCACGTCCAGTGCAAAGTTATGGAAATAAAGTATTTCTTTATGAGCAACTAACTAGAAGCCACATTGGATACAAAAGACTCAAAAAGCAGACCAGCTTCACCTTCTTCTCTTAAGAAAAGCTGACAGAGAAAGTAGAAGAGGCTCTTAAAAAAGATCCATTTATTGCACTCGTAACAGATTTTGCACAAAAATAAATAAATTATTTGTGTGTCTGAGGAGCCTCTTCTGCTGTTTCTCAGCAGGGGTCAAAGTTCATGATCAAACCAGACTCACCTTCATTCTGATGGTAATCTGTGTCCATCATGAAGAGCTCCCTCCTGCTGATCCAGTGGGTCCACTTGTGGCTGGAGGTGATGCTGGTCTGAGGGGGAGAAGTGTAGAACGCTCTCGTCTCCGTTAACATCAAATACCAACGAGCTCTTGAGCAAGGCACCTAGACTGGAAGTGGCTTTTCTGTGGTGACGTCATACTTTGGCGCTGGAGGGACAAGTTTAATAATCAGTCAACTGTCTCCAAGAAAAGTCTGGTAAGATTTACACAACGTGATCAGTTTCCTTCTGACTCACATTTAGTTTTTGAGGCTTGCGTTTAATCACATATCCAGCGACACCACCACAGACTCCCAGGACCAGTAAGACACACACAGCTGGGATCCAAACGCCCTGATGGGATCGACCACCTGATGTGAAAAAAGACAGACAGAAGTTACAGTAACTGAAATACAACAAATACACAAATCTGAGTTTGATTCAGCACTAATAATGATAATTATTTTTCTCCTCAGAGTTGAACCTTCTCCTCACCTTTAACATCCGTCTCCTCCTTTGGATCTGGAGTTTGGACATTTGTGGGAAGCAGCGGCGTCTCTGTCGTCGAGGATTTAACAAAGTTTGGATCTGAAAAAAAAACAGATTTAAAAGATTAACACCACAATGTTAAAAAAAACAATTATAGGAGGACAAAAGTTGTTCTACAGAGGTCTGTTTTTGACCTGTGTGCAGAAATCGTCTATGTTCACTACATTTTGACAGTAAAGTTCTGCCTTGTGTTGCAATCTGGACCATCAGCATCTAAACAAACTCACCAACAATAAGTAGAATAATCGACTCCTTCACTTGGCTGTTTAACTTGGGGATGAAACATTTGTATCTCCCTCCATCAGCCGGCGTCACGTTGGTGATCTTCAGAGAAATGTTTCCACGTTTCAGTTCGTCTGTGAACAGCATCGTCCTGCCGAAGTACGACTGGAGCTTCATGTCCAGGTTTTCACGTCCGTCCCTGTAAACGTGCACGTAGTCGACCCGGCTCAGACGATCAGAGGGGTCGGGCTTGAGATCTGGCTTCGACCACTCCACCGTCAGATCCTCCACATTGTAAGCAGGATCCAGGTGGCACGGCAGGATGACGTCATCACCCGGAGCAGCGATGATTGGCTGAAGTGACCCGATCACACGAGGCTGACCTGGAAAAATGAGGAAAATTTAAACCTTGGACTGACGATTTTTGTACATAAATTGTTTCTTATTGTATATCGATTGTATTAGGAAAGTTAACTGATTCTACTTTTATCCTGTTTTTGTCTTTATATTCATCTGTGCCAACAAGAAATGTCCCCTATGGGCCACACCACAAGATGCAAACCACTCATCAGCAGGAAGGATCAGAAGGATTGAGTACAGAGATGAGCCGCATAAATAAGAGCTGTTTTTCATGTTACGTGTGGTTCAGTGGCTTAAACAGCAATCAGCAGCTAATCAACTTTATTGAGCCACACATCACATCAATGTTATAACATTAGTTTTAAAGTTACAGCGAAGCCATAAAGTTACTGAATGTAAAAACTATTTTCTAATCACATCTGAGTTCATGTAGGCTACACTAGCCTAAACTATCAGGAGAACAATGGTCACAGTCGCTATTTTATTAACTCATAATCGCACGACATTTGACTGAATGAATGAAAGTAACTCAGCTCTGATACCGAAACATGAACTTACCTTCAATGGGTGTCCAGACAGCCGTACTCAAACATACGGCGAGAGTCCAAAGTGGAAAAAAGGTAAAGTCAAGCATGAAATTCCCGAAGTGAACCATAAAAACAGCCGAGTGAGACAAACACAAATCTACCTCCGTCAATTGAGCTCGACTGGCGCTGAACTACTGAAGGAAGCGCTGTAAAACCCTTTTTATACTCCTCCCTCCGCTTGTAGGACGTGATGAGTCATCATCATCACGTGCATGTTATTTTACACGGAATATAGTCGGGGTTTCTAGCATCTTCTGTTATTTATCGTCATGTGATGTTTGTTAAAGCTACAACTCTAAGAATGTAAGTAATGTATTTTATTATATCCTCTAGGGCAAATGCCTTGTTATTATGGGTCTGCCTCTGTCACAGGGGCGTTGATAGACATGTTAGATTTATTTTCAATAGAAGTGTATGAAATGTGTTAGTATGTACATCAGAAAGGGCTTTGACCTGAGCATAAGCATACATACCTGTTACCACCTGAAAAATTCTGGCATGGGGTCCTCCAACCATGTAAACAATTTGCCATTGCTACACTGTCTCACCTGACACTGCAGTGCTCTCACTATTACCTCTTATTTATAATTGTCTGTTTGTGTAATTAACTTACCCTGTTTGTCTGTCTGTCTGTCTCTCCCCAGGTTCACTTACCCTCGTCCTCTGTCAAGTCAGCTGGACTCGCTCACCTGCCCCCCCCGTCTTTCCCTTGTGCCTCCCCAGTCAGCCTGCCACTACACTCCTCCACCAACCCCCTGATCAGTTCTCCGTTCCTCCTCTCTCCTCGGTCCCCAGTGTCCCCTGGCTATCTGGTCTCTGTCTCCTCGGTTCCCCGTGCGTGCGTTTCCTCTGCATCCACCGCTCCCTTAACTCCAGTCCCTCAATCCCTTCTTTCCCCTAATAAAACCTGTTAATCTTGAGCGTTGCATTTGGGTCCACTCTGTCCATACCACAACATGACGTCCTTACTGTAACCCAAACCATGATGTTTTGAGTAGGCCTAGTGTGTAGCTTATGTAGCCACAATATGCTATGTTAGCTAAATAGCATTAGCTATGTGAGTTACATTAGCTAGTCAAAGGCTGTGTTCAAAACAGGCAAAACTGCTGTCCGAGTGATATTATTAATGTGAGCTTGAAATGAAAGTGTGCTGTTGAGGATCACACCCAGACTCTTGACCTGAGGGGAGGAAAAACTGTCAGATTTAGTCAAAGTGGATTTGGTGCCAATGTGGAGAACCTCGGTTTTGTCACTGTTAAGTTTGAGGAAGTTGCAAGAGAACCAGGATTTAATTTCCGTTAGGCAATCAGAGAGGGAGGTGGTTGGGAGAGATGTGGTAGGTTTGGTGAACAGGTAGAGCTGGGTGTCATCCGCATAGCAGTGGAAATGGATGTTAAATTTACAAAAGATATGGCCAAGAGGAAGCAGATAGATTATGAACAGAGGGGGCCCCAAGACAGAGCCCTGGGGAACACCGGTAGTGACAGGGGATAGCTCTGATTTGAAATGTTTGAGTTGGATGAACTGAGTGCGGCCAGAGAGATATGATTTAAACCAGTCCAAGGGTGTATCAGTGAAACCAATGGAGACTCTGTCAAGCAGGATGTTATGAGAGATGGTTGCACTCAGATCAAGGAGAATGAGAATAGTTAGTAGTCCAGAATCAGCTGCAATGAGAAGATCATTGGTGAATTTTACCAGCGCTGTTTCTGTGCCACGGTAGGCAGGAAATATAGGGAGGGAGAGAGACAACAAATATGTCTTTACTAGACAAGACCAGACATGTCCTAGTACTCATGCTGCAATAAGGAGAAATCAGGGTGATACTGTTAACCATCCTGTTTTTTTTCTGACCAACAACCTAAAACCCAAAGATATTTAATCAACAACAATGTAATACAGAGATGAGCTGCAAATCAGCACATTTTAGAAGAGGGGAACGTTGAATATTTGGCATTTTTTCCTTTAATTTGTTGCATTTGTTCTTGTGAAAGAAAATTTCCTTCCAAAGAAGAAGTCAAATATGTCATGAATCAATTCTTTACACAGATGTCCAGTCACCAAGACACTCTCCCGACACACAAACATCTCTCCCCTTATGTCTTCTTAGTATGAACACAAAAGCAAATTGTAATCACATATTTGTCTGAGTTTCTATTGTAAAACGTGACCCTTTGATCAATAATCAAATGTTAATCTTGTGGCTCTTTGAAATTGTTACTGCTTGGCTCAAGACTGGCAACAAAAAGGGAGGCCTCACACAGATTACAGAAACAAAAATGGTTTATTTAACTCAGACTAAATTAAACAAAGGAGCCAAGGCTGGGGTTGAAGGAGCAGGCCAGCAGAGAGAGACTGACTCCCAGAAAGGCTGCCTTTGGTGGCGCTGCATCAGCTCTTTATATAGCTGTAACTTAGTATTCAAGAGTCTGACTCACTTGATCTGTGAAAATCAGCAAGTTTGTGCGACTTTTGAGGTGTTAAGAAGACGCGTTTCCAGCAGGAAGCTGTGGCCTCTATATGATATAAATACTGACGATACAGCACCTCAACCAGCCAGTGAAACAGTAAGCAGCCAAGCAGCATGGCAATAACAACTCTCTGTGCTGTCGTTGGTGAGTTCTTATATTATGCTTTTTCTTATCTGAGATAGCTCTAAAACATTAACTGCATCCTGGTTTCTGAGCGATTTTAATGTTAGTACCCTCCAGTTAAAACCTTTCTGTTGTACACGCTAGTCTGTGTGTGTTTATGCTTGTTCTGTGTGCACATTGAGAACAACATCAGGCCAGAGTCAAACTCCTTGTAAATTCACAGATATCTGGCCTATAAAAGTGATTCTGAATGTTCCCTGTGATTACTCTATGGTCAGATTAAAGATTAAAATATTACTCTATGGTCAGATTAAAGATTAAAAGTTTGTAATGTAATAATATAGTATAATATAGTAATGATATGAACTGAATAAAGGACATTGATTCACAAGTATTAATTTCTGAACTAAGGTTACAATAGTTATTTTTCAATGAATTACTATAAATACATTAATATAACAGTAAAACAGACTTCTAATACATTTAACTGGTTGTTTCTCACTACTTGCTGAATAACCACCAGAAACGACAACTTATACTACATTACTTCATTGTATTAACTACAGGTAGACTTTTGCATTAGTAATCAGACTTCACTCACCACATCATCACAGAAACCATCTATTTAATTTCACAGCCAGACATTCGTCGTTCAGAGTCTCTGTAGAGATGTTCTTCAAGCTTGATCTTTACAAATGTTAGTTTCTCTTGTTGTGGTTTCACAGTAGCTGCAGCTTCTTTTTTTTATATCTGGTTTTTGATTTGAAACTTTAATTGTTTGTTCTAGTCACTATCTACTGTAGCTCCCTGCAGCTGCAGATGCTATCAACGTTCACCTTTATAGCCCAGCGTTGTAG